ATATAGAACCCCATTTCTCTTTTTGTAAACTCTTACAACTACCACTTTTTATCTTTCACTGGGCTTCAATATTATAATGTGCATTAGTGCAACATGTTTTCTGAGCTCTGACTACGTCAAAGTGACTGACAGTTCAAAGAGAAAGTTAGTCAAACTGTCATAGGCTTATGGCAGGCTACATGAATAATTAAGAATACTCAATGAAATTAAACATTCAAATTAAGTACAAATTAAGACTACACACAAGGGGCCTACCTTCTTCAATGTCTGTTCCTGAATATCTCCAAGCAGAATATCATAGGAGACGTAGATGGGATTTCTGTTTAGTTTGGGGCTGCCTTGCTCTGGCCGGACTCTCTAATGATTTCGGAAGCGTGGCTTCAGCCATGTAAACAGACTGTGTGGCCTGTAAACTCTGCTTTTCCTGTTATCTGCTGCTAGTCGAACATTTGGACGAGAGTCTGCGTGCCTTGCGCTTCATTTTCTGCTCCAAACACAGCGTGATAAACAAATGGGGGGGGGGGGGGGGGGGGGGGGTGCCCTCTCACACACATGCACACACACAGACAACTGCACACATCAATAAACATAAGACCACTTTAAAAAGACTGTTTCCTGATGTTCACTGTATGTTCAGAAGGGTTGCAACTTGAATAAGCGCAGTAGCATGACGAGAAACATGTTTGTAAAAAGGCTTTTTTCAATATTTGTACAAAGTGTTGTGAAATCTTCCTTTAACTATTAAACTATGTACACTCACCCACATTACCGTCCACACAAACACTCTGCAAACCCTGCTGTCCATTGAGAGGAACTCTTTTGTCTACTATCTGAAGTGTGGAAAAGCAAAATAAAGCAAGCTTCATCATTTAAAAAAATTCTCTACATTATTTGTCTATAGATCAGCTAACATTACTGGCCTAGGCTAGTGCCCTCTGTTCAACAACATAGTGAGGGTACACTGTAAATCTTACACTTGTCAAAACCTGGTCATTTATGGTAAACTCTGGGCTAAGGGCAACAATGAACACAGGAACTGAATGTTTGGGCTTGTGCCTTCAGTCCAACAAGAGAATTTGGGTAATTAATGGAGCCAATGGTGCAAGACGTTTGAGGAAGCTATGGCTAACAAGGTTCACCAGCTCCATATTTTGCCATTTTTGCTGAACGTTGTCACAACTTAGCTCTGAAGTATCACGGCGGATGGCAAGAACCACAAGATGAATGAAAGCACTGAGATGTAACCGGAGATCACAACAAACTGCAAAAAGCATTTTGAATGACTGATTGAATTGTATATTGGGATACAACAAGAGTTAGCAATTCACTTCAGATTCACTTTCTAAGCAAAAAAGAGAAGTGTGAAATGTAAATGGAATGGAATCTTGTTTAAAATGTTCATTTTGACATGGACAGCCAGTTCCATATCTAAAACAGGTTCTCAAGACCCATCAGGACTCCATTATAATTTTCCATGATGCACACAGGTTCAAGAGAGCAGCTTAGCTAAAATGATTTCTCACACTGATTGTCAAAATGGGGAATATGTCAAATTAAAAACGTTGCTTTATTTTATGCTAGCCTTTATCATCTGTCCTATGGTAGGCTAATTCAATTCTCTTTCTACCCTAGGATTGTGGACCAGCTTTACATTTGGTTCACTTTGAATCTAAATCAATTCAAGCTTCAGTGTAATAATGGTCGTCTGACGAGGACATCAAAACACGAGCAAGGGAAGTAGCGGTTATTGTGGTATTCGCGGTAACGAAGACAAGCGTAGGCTACTTTCACATCGCCTTATCGACTGCTGCTGACCTGGTTTGGCGGATACCGAGATAACATCAGTAGTGCGTGTTTTTGTGGAAAAACGTTAAAAAGGTGGCAGCTGTAGCATACCATTTCCTTACACAGCTCACGTTATAGCCTACCTCACTGGAAATGAATGGTAGCCTATAGAAAATACCACCAAAACGGGCTATTTATTCAGCGCGAGAAGTTTGTAGTATCTCCACATTTAACTTGCATTTTTAAAAAATCACGACTCGCTTTTCAGCTCGTTATACGGATGTGGGAAGCTGATGTTTTCGGCCGTTCAACCCGTAACACGTACCAACTGTCAAAAGATACAATGTTATAGCATTATGACGCTGGCGTTATGACGTCGATTACAGATGAAAGAACCACTGGAGGTGTTCGAAACAATGTTGCATGTCGTACTGGATAAATTCACACAGCATCTGTTTAAGATTACATCATCACAAAAGCTGCACGAGCAGCGGTTTCAGGGCTTTTCCTGGCTGTAAAAACTAGCAAACTACATACGATTAAAATAATTATAATAAATCACATTTTCATTTTCCGTACTCACCCTCTCTTGCCTTTAAGAGTACCGTGTTTGCAACAATATTCTCCAGCTCCATCAAAAAAACACCGTGATATTGCCGTGGAAGCCGAAGAGTAGATAGAGCTCCTTATTGCTCCTCCCAGCAGAATACGCTATTTTCCGTCCTTATAAAAGTATTTAAATCAAAACCTAGGCATTTTAAATTATCAACACACGTATACACACGTAAAACAACGAATCGCTGACACACGCGCGTGGTTGTTGTTGTAGTTTGCGCCACAAAAGGCGTAAGGAAGGCATTGCCTGTTGAAACACAGCGTTGTCGAGCCACTGGCGACAAGTCACGTTAAAACGTACATGCCAAAGACAGCAGGCCGAGGTCTACATCCTTTGAGGGTACACGGCAGAAAACGGATCAAGTAGAGTACGGTCGATCATACAGGAGTTGTTGAAGTGCCGCTGTCACTATCAGCGTGCTCCCTCTCTCGGTGCGTAATCGAAGCAGGGTTGGGTTTCTGCTTTCAGTTGTAATTTTTGGCTGGGTCCCAAGCGGCTTTCCCCGTGGCTCCGTTCAGATTTACAGCGGTAGAGCTGTGTTCAAATGGCGTAGCGATGCAAAAGGTTGAGGATGCGTGCAGTTATAACGGTGTACGAGATTCATCTTTAGCGCTTGTCATGTTTCCTTGTCATTCCTATTCAACAAGCGCTTGAAAGGGGCGTGTTTAAATGCAGCTGTGACGCACGAGCCTTGAAGAACAAGCATGCATGGCTGTCAAAGGATATTTGATAGCAGGACATTCAAGCCGCTCCCGCTCTTTCAGTCGGCACTGGGCGCAATAATAGAAAGTGGGATAGCCCGGGATTGAAAGTCAAGGCCAATAAATAGCAAAGACGAATTACACTTTTTTGTTTGTTTAATTTAAGAGGGGCCATTTCTAGTCCATTTCATAAGAACACAAGTTTTGTGTTCAGGCTATGGACCATTTGATGATGACTTATCAGAGATATCAATTTGATTCAATATGACATGAACAATAATTCTTTTGAACACATGTTATTCAGCTGCTAAGTTAATCACAGCCATGCTGATAATTAGACCGACCAACACAATTTTCATTGTGGTATTGCTTTTATAAAACAATTCAAGATATTAAAGGGATAGTTCACCCAAAAATGAAAATTAGCCCATATTTACACACCCTCAAGTTATCCTAGGTGTATATGACATTATTTTTTTAGACGAGTACAATCGGAGTTATATGTCCCGGCTGTTCCAATGGCAGTGAATGTTTCTGTTTTGAAGTCTACCCACTACCCATCATAAAAGTGTTCCACACGGCTCCGGGGGGTTAATAAAGGCCTTCTGAAGCGAAGCGATGAGTTCGTGTAAGAAAAATATTCATATTCCACACGTTACAAAGTAAAATTCTACTTGCGCAACTTACACAACTTGTGACGGAAGTAGCGTAAATATCAGGCTACGTTGCATTACTCGCATAGGTTGGAATCTGTATTCATTTGGCCGGAAGCTAGTTATTTTACTTTATAAAGTTTTAAATATGGATATTTTTCTTACACAAAAGCATCGCTTCTCTTCAGAAGGCCTTTATTAACCCAAGGAGACGTGTGGAGCACTTTAATCATGAATAGATGCGCTTTGATGGACTTCAAAACAGAAACAGCCATTCACTGCCATTATAAAGCTGGGAAGAGCCAGGACATTTTTTAACTCCGATTGTATTCGTCTGAAAGAAGAATGCCATATACACTTAGGATGACTTGAGGGTGAGTATCATTTTTGGGTGAACTATCCCTTTAATAGCCTACTCAATAAATAGCGTTTCAGACAAAATCTGACAAGCTAGTTTGTATATTTTTGTTTCTGTTTCTCATTTACACTACTGTAGTGAAACTTGCTGAGAGAGTGAAACTCGAAGAACATTAGCTGTTGTACAGTCCCCATGTATCATTGTGCTTTGTTATAGTTATTTTAAGTAAAATATTAATAATAAACACTTTTAAATCCAATAAAGTGAAATTTAGGGCATTTCTTCCCTTTTGTACATTTGATGTATTCTCAAATAGCCTACTCTATATGAAACAATTATTAAGAGCATATAAACTTCAACACCAAGATTTGGCATCAAGATAAATTATACTCACTGTAATAAATTTAGTCTCACTGTAGCCATGACATGTCCTCTTCTCACTATGTGAAAACAGTATTGTTGTCTAACATAAACTTTGATGTCTTTCTCTTCATGAACTATTGCCTCAAAACAGAACAAATGCAAAACCACCCCCTAGCTACCGATTAATGAAAGGACATGTTTCACCTGAAAATCCCCTTATATCCCTATTGAGAAATAAAGAATATAATAAAGAAGCATATAATAAACCTATGTATATGTGGAAATTTTCAAATTAATTATAAAATCAATTTAAATAATTATATTATTCACATATAAAAATAGTTTTTTTATATAATAATTTTACTCAGTGTTCTAATCTCACCCTAATGTTTTAAAACACAAGCCCTCTGTGTTGATTGGCTACTAAGAACATTTCTGGAGATTAGTAATCAAAAAACATAATACATCAAAATGATATTTGGTTTCTCAGAATCAAGTAGTGACAATTAATTAAAAGCCTGTCATCAGTATAAAACAGGTTTAATAGAACAAAAATATTTTCAGTGTTGTTGCGTTTTACATTATACAGTACACCAACTTAACCATAGCGTCATATCCATAACATAGTGAACACTGAAATAAACTTTTCTTGTATACATTTACAGTTGTTTAATTTTAAACTAAACGTCAACAAGTGCTTCAGTTTGGTCCATCCTTCATTTCACTATGGCATCTGCCATTAAAAAACAAAGATGGTGGGCAATTCTCAAAATGTGCCTTCACAAGCAACTAGTGAAACAAAATCTTGAAGTCATAATCTTGTCAGACTCACTCTATCAATGGACAGAATGATTTCAAAGTCAAGACAGACTGTCGTCTCATACCAAACAAAACCCATCCAATAAAACAGAAATAAAATCATCCAAAAAATAACTAAATGTTGTTTCAGAAATCATCTAACGTGTCAGCTTTAGGGATCGATAAACCTCGCTCTTTCACTGCCTGTAGCTTCAATCTCTCTGACTCCTGCTTGGCTTGCTGTTCTGTCCGCTGTTCCTCCAGAATTTCCTCAATGGAAACTCGCTGGAGGATTTGATCACATTCTTTATCCAGATCCTGGAAGGGGAAAATAGCATATTATTCAACTTTTTGGAAAATCCAAAAAAATAAATAAAAGTGGGTTGTGGCAAAATTTCTGATTTGTTACCCTCATGAAATGTCTCATCATACGCCACATGCCTTGCAAATATTACACAAAGTCATAAAATCATACCGAGGGTAGCAGGGCGATGAACACATGTACTTACTACTTCCCCAAGCAAGACGACATTTTCTCCTCTCACGACAAATATTCCACGAGGTATGTCACCAAATTTTTTACCTACGTGGATTCGTTCCACTGTTTGATGCAAAACTAAATTGGCTGTGGAAGAAAAAAGAAATCACATAGGTTCAAATATAATGGTACATTTTACAATAAAAATAAACATTCATACTGAGCAATGCCTGTTTTTTTGTACTACTAGTCTTAAACACATAATTCAACCAAAAATGGATATTCTGTCACCTTCATATCATTCCAAACCTGCATGACTTTCTTTTGTGGAACACAAAAGATATTTTAAAAAAACGTGGTGGTCCAAATATCATTGACTTTACGGTGTGGACAAAATAAAGAGACTTTTTCTACGTTTTTAGTGTGTTCATTGAATTGCATAGTATAGACCTTCATGAGAGGGCGTAAATGATGAAAAATCTAAATATATTTTTAATGATTGAGACCTCCACCTAAACACCAAACAGCAGAATATATATTAAAATTTAAAAGAAAAAATAGATGCTTGCAAAATAATGCCAGGCCACTATACATACCAAACTGATCTATGCTTCTAAGGATCCCAATCAATGTTCTTCCATCGCGAAGGAGAACAAGGTGTTTTTCTTAAAAAAAAAAAAAAAAGGAGGCGAAATTAAAGCATCGTGAGTCACATGTATACTGTTGACCTTTGAGATTTCTGTCATTAATTCATGTAACGTTAATCACACGAACACCTGTATGGAGGCAATTATTATTCACGTGGACTCTGGATTATTTGATTCACCAGACTAGCTCAGCTTGCGGAACAATAGCAAAGAGCAATAGAGTTATATTTTTAGCTAAAACATGTAACACCAACGTGACTTTTATAAATGCTTTTTATAAAAGCGTCTAAGCGAACATCATTACACAACGCCAACTGTGTGAGTGTGTGTCTCGCCGGGGTGAATCCAATATATTGAATCATTTCGCAATTAACTTACTATCAATGTCCTCGATGAGGCTCGCAGTCCCTGGCATGTAATTCATTTTGCTGACATTTGGGAGTTTTTAAACGTAAAGTATCAAGCCATGGACATTTCAAAAGTGTATCCTTATTCCACAGGATGTACCATAGAAACGAGTGCTTCCGGTTCAATTTAACCCTTTAAACCCCAACTCCTTACCGCTCGTTCCAAAGGTACCAATCGTTGCTTTAAATTATTTATTTACCTAAAATGACAACCAAATGGCCTTAAAGTTATTTTTCTGTGTTTTTTGTTAGATTCACTGATGATCATTACAAAATCTAACAGTTGCGATATCCGATTCATGGAAAAAAAGCTTTCGTTCGAGTCGAATCTTGTTAATGAATGATTTTGACTGAAACCTAAAACATTTTCAGTCAAGAGATGTAAATGGATTTAAGTATTATTTAATGTAACTGAAACGTATATTTAGGTTCTAAATGATTGATGTGTTCATGAGTTCAACCAATTGAACCGTGACATGTGAAATTACAATAAAAACACTTTATAAAATGAATGAATCAAGTACATGTTGACGTTATTACGTTGTGAAGTACAATAATCACTGAAACGGTCGTTTAACATTTTAAAGAACCGATAAGCAATGGACTTCCCATAGAAACTTTTAACTCTGTCACATGGGTGTGGCGTCACCATTGTACTCGTCTCCTATTGGCCAGTTGAGTTGTCACTCAAGGCGCGTCTGCTGGCGAGTTGAACTGAATGACAGCGCCGTGCCTCAGCAGTGAATGTACCAAACAAAATGGGAAATATATCCAATTGACGCACTCTCTAGCTACAGCATTTTGTGAAACGTAGTGGCAGATAATTAAAGGCCAGCTTTGAGAAGACCTGTTTCATTCTAAACCAAGCTGTGATAGACAGAAGTGAACTTAAGACTAAAAGAGTTCGTGGTTTAGTCACGAATGGCTTTCGATTCAGTTGGCAGCGACAGAGTCGGAGGTGAGGCTGCGTGGATCATGCATCAGCAGATGCAGTCTGATCCCAAGACATCTTGGCCTTCCAGCTACAACTCAGAGAACAATAACTGGAACAACGGAATGGTGAGTCTTTTGTCATCTGATACTGGTAGAGGTCGGTAGGAGAAATAACATTGAAGCCGTTCTAGCATTTCTAACGATTTCTCTATCGCTCACACTGCAAAGCAACGAGCTGTACGCCGCTGATCAACAGTACGGCCCGCTGGGTTTGTTAGTAACGTTAAATCATCAGGCAAAACCACATGCTTTCTGTCTTGCATGCTCTGGTTTGAATGGACACTGGATATTATTGTTTACCAGCGCAAATAAGTATGACGGCTATAGAAACGCTCATTTAACGTGAAACTGTTGCAACATGGATTTCATTCACAGCTTGTGTAATCCCTCTTTAAGTAACTGGGGTTTAAATACCTTAAAAAGGCAGTGTTGATAAAGCTGGACTGTGTTCTCAGTAACTCTTGTTTATTCCCTTGATAACTTCTAACTTACTTGAGCCTGAGCATAAACAGTTACCACTCACTGGTTCGGACAAAATGTGTGTTTCTATATCACTCACTCAGTATGGATCATTTTCATCAGCTGGTGATAAAATGACGTGTCAAAAATATTGACTCCGTCATCTACTTCGAATGAATGAATTTAGGCTACAGCGTGTTTTCAAAATGATTTAAAATGTATTTTCCATCAGAAAATCTCACTGTGCTGACTGCATGATTCTGCACATCACACGTGTTAAATGTAGCTATTTGTTGTCTGTTTTTTTTTCTGGTGTTGCTATAGTTACTCAGGGGTGGAAAGAGTACTGAAAAAATATTTTCAAGTAAAAGTAACATTACTTTCCAAAAAATGTAGTCTGAGTAAAGTTAAAAGTACTTGAATAAGCGTAAAAAGAGTAGATTATGTAAAAGTACTCATGAGTAGTGATTGTGAATAATAAACACTGTTCACTGCAATTTAAAAATGTAGAAAACACTGATACTGTAATTCACATTATCCTTTGCTGTTTGTCAGTAAGAATGAAGAATATCTATAGCCTCAAACTGCTTTATTTTTTGCTGACAACTTTTCCAAATACATCACTTATCTCTGATAAAATTTATCTTTTCCCCAAACAATACGGAAAAACCATTATAGAGATGAAAAGATTAAAAAGTTATTTTCAGTACACTCATCACCATTTTGAATCATAATGCATGAAAAGATTAGATTTAAAATCAGTTGTGAACACAGAGCAGCTATTGTTCCTCATAAAATACCAACGTTCAGAACAGTGCAAAGAATACAAAAACCCTCATGTGAGAGTTCAGCATCACACACCAGAGATGGGTTAAAAAAGAGAGAGATAGGCAATTTCTCAACAGTGTCAGTTTTAGCATTTTCTGATAAAGAAATGAGAATCATTAATATTATCAAACAGTTAACCTCTCCTAATGCACTAAAATAGGCAAATATATTATTTTGGGCAGCTGATGACCAGGGTTTGCTGGGATTTTGGAGTCAGGGTAACCCTAAAATCCACAAAAATAATGCTTAGAATACATAATTATGTTTTTTATGAAGAGTATTGTCATTAGAACATCCCTTTGGTATCTAAATATCTATTAATTGGCCTGTATAATAATAATAATAAAAAATATTCTTTCATATGAATCTCTTTAACTGATACATCACAAACTTTTAATATGATTTATTATAAATGCTGATATCTGTATTGAATTGATGCTTCCACAGCAGCCATGATTAATAGCAGTTAGCACAATCTACTGTGTTGTGGTAATTATTTTTCTATGCGCGATTTAATTTGACTGGAGTCACAAGACCGATTACTCTCTCCCTAACCAATTACGATGGATAAAACATTTTTTTAAACAAGCATGTGACAAAACGTCTGCAAAGTTTTAACCCTTTCATGCATGAATTATGATAACCTCAGTCAGGATTTTTTTCCTATGTGTTTTTATTGTTCTTAGGGCATGTAAAAGATAAATTATTATTATTATTATTATTTACACATATTTCTCAAAGACATTTTCAGAAGTCCACTTGAGTGGACACAGCATGCGTTTATGGTTTAAATTGAAGAGATACTATATTAAACATAATAGAGTAATAATAACACAGCAATATTGTGTGTATTTAACAAACCAATCAATACAATAAATAAAAAATCACGTGAACACTATAAAATATATACAAAAAATATTAATGCGAAATATTGCAAAGGCAAATGAACTTCATACAAGTTGAACTTCGTGTATCTTTGATATCAGAACATGAGGACGTGATTCCATCAGAGATCTCTACTGTCAAGGTACAACTGTGGAAACCCAACTCAGATGCTCCCTCCAGTGTACTAGAGTATATCAATTTACCCTTATTAGCTGATAATTCTGATTATGTTAAAAATGGACACATTTTCTAACATAGCTCTCCTACGAAAAAACCTAGTGATCAGGTGTTTTCAATCTCATCTGAAATGAGCAGTGTTGGGGCAAGTAACATGGATAACACAATCAGATTACTTTTTTGATGTTACAAGTAAAGTAATGTATTACATGCAACAACATGCATTTACGTAATCAGATTACTTCTTGATCTAACGAGTAAAGTAATTCATTAAAAGTAATGTGCATTACATAATCAGATTACTTTTTGATGTTACTAGTAAAGTAATGCATTAAAAGTACTGTGCATTACATAATCAGATTACTTTTTTGATGTAATGAGTAAAGTAATGCATTACAAGTCACATACAAGTAATCACATTATTTTTTGATGTTAATGCAAATTACATTCTAATAACACAAATAGATTTATTTACAGTCAAAAAAAGTTACTGCAGATTAAGTATTTTCAAAAACAACAGTCACAGTAGTAATAGTATTGTAGCTGAAATATAGCCATGATGCATGAGGTCCACTATAGTGGACAGATGATTAATCAGAATTTTCTCCCAATCTAAAATCAATACTTGAAAAATTTAAATGTGATTTGATATTGCTTGATGCTAGAATTTTTTTTTTACCTGCAAGAGTCTCCTAGGATAGAAGGCATGTGTGGATATTCCAGAGCAACTTGGCATTTCTGACTGGCCATTGGCCATCTTGTTTGGATGGAAAAATATCAACACACAACGGCTTGCCACTTGGTGGCTGTGGCGAGCAGGATAAGGCCGTGGGCAGTGAGAGAGCGGCGCGAGGCCGGTGACGCTCAGTGTTGCCAGATGTACGATAATTATCGTATTTGTACGATCATTTTGACCTCTGTACGATGTACGATCAATAATGAAAAAAATCGCATAATGTACGATAATTTCAGAATTTTGTGACACTTCAATCGGAGGTCATTGTAATCATAGTGTTTCTCGGTTAATACTCATTGATCTAGCTGTGGATCTACGTCATGATTGTGAGGAGAAAGTGAAGGTGAGAGAGCACGGTAGAGAGCGAGAGACCCTGCGTCATGAACCCCCCATCCCCCCCCCGTCAACAATCCAGTCAACCCACCCACCCCCCGTCAACAATCCAGTCAACCTCACTTGTCTAAATGGCTGTGTCCTGTCCGTTTGACTCGTGAACGATAATTTTCTTCCAAATACGATAATTTTGAGCTTCTGGTACGATACTTGGATATTTCCAATCTGGCAACACTGGTGTCGCTCATCAGCAATCACGCCACCGGCCTCGCGCCGCTCTCTCACGGCCCTCGGCCTTGTGCTGCTCGCCACAGTGGCAGTGTATAGGATGATGCACCAGGTCTCCTGTAGAGATTGATGTGCAACTATGCCATCAAAACCCATGCAAAAATGCAAGAAAAGGCTTTTTGAACAGCTTTCCACTGTAGTGACCTCTTTGCATGAAAAAGTGCGCTATAAATAAAGTTTTAATAAAGTACGTAGGTTTGTAACAAATTTTCATAATACCAACATATGGTCTTCATTGATTGCCCGCAAACAACTACTTTGACCTGTAAGCTGAAGTGTACAACTACTCAGACACTGTAATGCCGGGTTCAGACTACACGCTATCATCCCGATTTTGGCACGATCTGTTTGACGTAGGGTGTCTTGGTGATTCGTAAACGATAATGGGCTACGGGACGCAAGAATTGATCGTTTCATCTCATATATAGTGTGTCATAGTGGACAACAACTGATGCCGCGTCTGCCATACTTTTTATTCCTGATCCTCCACGACGGGTTCTGTCACATCTGTGAAGTTGACCAATAGTAGCACAGAAGCTCTTCCGTATACCGCTTTCAAACTTGACGAAACGAAAGAGAGGTGACAGTATTGGTGCTGTTAGGTGGAATTATGCAATGGAGGAAAGGTTCGTGGAGCTATGGCAACAATAATCCTGCTTTTATGACATTTCCTCAAGTGACTACCACGACAGAGTGAAAAAACATATATGCTGGCGAATGATAGTGCTTCAGCAACCCGGTAAGAACTGGATTTAGCACTAAGTTAACATGCCGCTTCTGTAGTTCGTTTACACTCTTGTTTCTGGAAGTCATGCCGCGTTCCAGGCAACCTGTAGCCCGTGTTTTTCCAACCTTATACCCGTGAAAGTGCACTGGAACGGCAGTCAAACCCGTGACTTCCCACCCGTGAACTCGTACTAGATCGATGTACTCCCAGTTACGAGGTCTGACGTCACATAGCCATACAAACCATACAAAACAACAATGGCAGCCACTACAGATGCAGTGTTTCTGCAGGCGGTACACGGTGAGAATACACTTTAGGACAATATAACGTTGCAGTCAAATTAATAATAATATAATAATAATACACACACGATTATGTATTACAATGTTATGTGTCTGAAACAATAAGTATGTATATTGCGCTCAGGTAGTTTGGCGTGACTGTCCTGGAACGCTACAAAGTCGTGAGTCGTGGTTTGAAGTCGTGATTTACGTGCTCAAAAACCTGCCTGGAACGCAGCATTAGTCACTAGTTCCGCCTACTCGATGACATCATGTACGTCATTAAAGACGGTAAACGATGATTAGTTGGGAAGCAACGTGTAGTCTGACATGTTTCTTGTCCATGACACGACAAGAATTTAGAAGTCAAAATCGTATAATCTTGACACAGTGACTATCGTAACAAGACAAAAATATTGTGTAGTCTGTACCTGGCATAAGACTGCATTTAACTCCACTTTTAGACATATACTCGCAAACTTCCCCTAGACCCCTTGATTTTGACCGAGGGAGCAAGTCTACTCATATGTACACTTCAACCAGATCCAAAGACCACAATGCAACACGATCGTAACGTCACAACAGCAACTCGTCACTCTGTAGGCCAAAACGCGGAAGTGAGTTAGCATTTTAGCACTCCCGGTTCCCTCGCTCTAAAGTCTATGGGATTTTTGAAGGGGTTTTTGCTAAATCGCCTGAAATAAGGTCTGTGGTGAACAAAGCCTCTAAATATTTTCACGTTTTGATCTATGACATAGAACACACAGTTATAACCTGCTTGTGGTTTTTTAAACTTTATTGTGTCTGCTTGTGTTTTTTAAAAACTTTATATAGGCTTCAAAATGTATAAATTTTGGATTAACTTGTAAAGATTATCTTGATAGACAAAACGTGACACAGATCTTATTTTTTGCGATTTTCCAAAAGTCTATGGGGAAAATGCATAGCTTTTCGATCGAGGGAACCCATGCGCCGCTAGCTTCCGAGTTGTCCTACAAAGTGACGTCATCACTTCTGCACTCTAATAAAGGTAAAGTAGTGTACAGCTGTATATTAAGTTAGGTAAATTAAGCAATTAAGAAGAGTAATACTGAGATAAAACATTTATTTAGTTATTCAGAATTTTTTGTTTTTATGCAATTTGTTTCAAAATAATTTAAGTACACATCTTCTGTGTAGTGGTGTGCACAAATAGTCGAATTTACGAATATTTGATCTGTAATAATTATTCGAAAAATACTTTTCAAATATTGCTGCATGTTGCATTGCTGGCCATAACTGCAGTGAATCAATGATAAATCCTAAGCACTTTATTAGCATATTATTTTTTGCTCTGCTTGAGTTTAAATGCTTTTGTTCTGTGTATTTTTTGTTTATACATTGTTTAATGTTTTCAGCTCAAAGAAAACCTCAAGATATAATGTGAGCTTGTTGTGTATATGGCCAAATTATAAACTTGTTCAAAAATGGTGACAAAAACTTAATTAACTTGTTAATTAATAATTTTAACTTGTTAAACTTGTGTTCTTTGATGTTAGATGCATGTAAACCTATTGTAGGAGATCTAAACCTATTGTTCCTCCAAAACAAAATGAGGACCCTTTTAAAATAGCATAATAGGGGCACACTAATATTTTGTCTGACCACATCTATAACTGTATCTGCATGTACTCTTTTTTTATTTTAGGAATCTCAGTATCCTGGCTACTCAAATTATTGGTACCCACAGTCACACACAGCCGGACCTTACAGCAACTCGTACCCCCCTGGAACAGAGGTCAACGGACAGGCATCATATAATCACCAGGTAATGCCACTTCATTCTTATGCAACACCCTCTGTCAGTCGAATACACAGCAGACTTATCCCACTTCACTCTGCTGTGCCCTTTTCAGGCAATGTCAGCTTATCCCAATGGGGTGTACAATCCAGGGCAATACTCCACGAGTATGCTACATCCTTCCAATCCATTCTACTGCAGTGACCAGGTTCCTTCAAGACCACCTCAGTATCACAGCCAGACCTGCCCTGAACAAAATGCGAGGGGCTCGGCTCCTCCCCCTTACCCTGTACCTCACTGCCAAGGGGTAAATTCAGTTAAATATAAACATAATATATGAACGTAAGTTTGGTTTTGCACCAAGCACATTTCTGAATCGATTGCAAATAATAGTTTCCATGGTAAAGAAAGATCTAGTAAAGGGAACACGTGTGCAAAGTTCTTGGCATTTAAAATACACAAATAACATTTTTAAATGACATCTGTTTCTAAATAAATAAAGTAATTTTCATTTAGTTATAACTGGCCTAAGGAGAACTCGGAACTCAAAGACAAAAAGAAAAAAAACTTCTTGCTCAATTTGTTTTTAATCCCTGATTTTAGACATGCATGACAAATACCAAATGCATAATAGCATAAAGTTTAAGGACATCTTTATAAATTAAGGACATTAAACTTCTCAGAACGAAATGTCTACTCAGGCGATAATGCCAAAAAGAAAAACGAGAAACATCAGACCTTGTGAACAAAATAAGCCCATTTTATTCAAGACATTTTCTTTAACAGTTTTCTTCACAAAACAAAATTCATTTCAAACACAAATTCGATAAGAACAGAGTGGAAATTATTAGCAACACCAACATAACAGCAAAGCTAATGTTTTCTGTTAGTTTAAGCACTAACTAATAAAAGAAAAAACAAACCTTTACCGTTTCAATAATTAAAATAAAATAAGAGAATCACAAGCTATCATTAGATAAAGTTCAGTCAAACTGAACATGTTGTGTGTTTATGGTGTATATTGGCAGTGTTGTCTCCGCTTGGGTAGAACAAATAATCGGATATCACAGAATTTTCGTAAGGTGATTATTGATACGATTTTTTACATATTGCCCCTACCAGCTATGTTATTGTTAACTAAAACTATTAAAAATGCATTTTTGGAATTATTTGGCATTATTATTATTACATTAAATTAAAAACTTAATGTAAACAAAAATGAGAAATGTTGCCTTGGTAACTAACTGAAATTCTGAAATAAAAATAAATGAAAGATAAATAGAAATATTAAAAAACACGTTACTTAAACTTAAACTAAAATGAAAATGAAAAAAGCTAAATTCAAAATATTGCTAAATACCATAAATAATACTAAAATAACATGGGTGTACACATTTTGATCATTATTTTCTAATTGTTTTTAAATATAATTTTTAGTTAAGTATTTTTAACAAATATCGTGAATTAATTCATAAATGTCATTAAGTTTTTGGGAGTCACACCAATTTTACAAAATGAACTAACCATCTCATATTATCTAATATTTTAAGAGACTTATTGACCTCTATAGAAAATCTCTCGGTTTTGATTGCACCACCTGAAAAATTATCTATCATTCTTATAGTTCTTTCTGGTCTTCTTTTTCCTCTTAGGCTCCTGGCTACCCAGCAGGATCTTACCCACACTATGGAGAAGGATGCCCTCCGAATGCCCCCTACCCCAACCAGCAGCCCATGCTCTCAAGAGCCCAGCATGAGGCCTGGTCCCACTCTGGAGGGTATGGGCCTACACCGCCCCAACAGCAGTGGCCATCCAATACCCAGACACCCCATGGCCCCTATGGCAACCATGTACGACCACCTCACCCCCCGCCGTGGCAAGGACCCGCACCGCCTCCATATGAACACAAGGTATTTGTGATGGTTTACAAACATGTATTCATGTTCACTTTAGTAGTAGAATAAAAGTTATATCACAAATGTTCTGTCGCTGAATAAGGTTTCCAAATTTGAACAGCCAAAGCAAATGTAATAATATTTGATGCTTTTTCCTTAAGATGATTGTGACTCTTTAAGTAAAATGAAATAGAGCACCTCTTTCTGCCTCTTCCCTTTGTTGTTTCTAGGCAACTAGCACTGGTGTTAAAGGTCATAAGTCAAAAGACGTTCAACTTTGACGTGAAGGTGTTGAGGAAAAATTATTGAAAATTGTTTTAAATATGGTTGTGTCTGAAATGTGCTTTACATAAATCATCATGGAATCAGTATTATAGAAAAAATACTATGTTGGTATAAACAATGGTAAATTGAGTCCTGGGAAGGGAACTACAGTCTGCTTACTCCGGCCCGTTTTTGTTGTTGACTGCAAGGTCGCATTCAGATCTTTTTCTTTTTGCATTTATCCGTTAAACTCCGATGTACGTCACAGTGCAGGACAAAAGATATCTTGCTATTTCCGCTCCATCACATCTTTAAATCATAGGATTATTCTTTATTTAGTAATAGTTCACCCAAAAATGACAATTGTGTTTCACTGGAAAAATAAAGTGGCATGCAGGTTGGGAACAACATGAGGGTTAGTAATGACTAATCATTTATAATTAGTAATCATTTTTGGTGAACTATTAAAAACTCGTAGGTAGGTCATAGAAATTACAATATTTCAGGTTGGCATCTTAATGTTTGTCTTCTGAATCATGCTGAATTTAAAGACATTAAGTTCTATTACATGCAAGGTTATAATCGAGCCAAAGCAAGTTTTTGTGTTGTCGAGCTGCAGTGTTCATTATGTCCTAGTGTACATGATAGTGTCCAATGTGCATTTGAATATTGAGTGATTAATACACATTGCGCGTCAACTCTGTCTTTCAGAGCAAGCACAGGGCGAGGCCAAAATCACATCTAAATGTGTTACTCAGATTTTAGTTGGACAAAAACACTTGCATGATATTTTAAGACAAATTATTGCTTCAGCCTGCCAGATATACTTCTAAAGTGCAGGTAAATGTACTGACTGGCACTTTGGCAAACACGAAGTGGGAAGGCTTATTTAACAGTTAAGAGACTGGGTTCACCTCATGTAACCCTTCTTCTCTCCCAAAGCTGATTACATAAGACCGCTCAACTCTCCCACTATCAGAATATGTTACTGTACATCACAACACTTTGATTTCCTGTTTTCAACTCACAAACATAGACGGCAGCATATTTAATACTCGTTGCGGGGGACTATGTTTGTTGTGTAGTCTTATTTTAAAAGCAATTGCCCTTTTCCTGCAAGGAATGAAAGTGTACAAATCATGGGAATCTTAATTTCAGACTTTTAGTTGTTCAAAAAAGACTACCTCTTGAATTTCCTGACCAAAAACCCAAAGTATACTTCAGTTTTGAAGCGAATGCTTAACTTACGTGGACAGCGAAAGTCTTAGACACGTGTGCACTAGAAGGTTTTATCCTTGTCCAGGGTCTGTGCTATTTCTCTTAGAAGTTATAAGTAATAAAAATGCCTTTCTACTTATTTAAAGTGGATTTGCAGGTTTCTCTTAACCCCCTCACACAAATGGAGTCTATTGTTGTTGTCCATTAAGTTGTTTGATGTTTGTCGACTGTAAAACAACGGCCCAGACCAGTGTTGCCACTTTGTGGACCAACTGAGTGAAAAAAAAAGAAGAATAATCAATGTGCATGTGTGAGTTGAGCATTCAGAGTATGCACGGTTAGAAAAAACGGGTTGTGATTTTCAGACTTAACACATACAAAACCCGCTTTGTGGTTTTAGAATTGGTATATTGTGTAATATTGAGAATTTATTTATATCTAAATGAATATCTGTCTCTTAGGATCCACCATATCACAGCCAGCCTCATATGCACCCTCGAAACCAGCCTCCAGGCTCCAAACCACGTGCCAGCACTCCAAACCCAACTCCACCGCCGCCCAAACCAGCCCAGTTCAGCGCTCCACCTCAGATCTACAACAAGGGTCCCTCTGGAGGTGCAGGACCTGAGACCAAACCAGCCCAGAATGAACAACCTCCAACGTCTTCCCGCCCCACCCCGGCCCCGTTCAGTGATAATCCCGGCCTGGCTCGAGTTCAACTGATTATGGCCAGAGTTCAGCTCCTCCAAGAGGACGTGGACGAGTTTGTGGGGAAAAAGACGGAAAAGAGCTACCGGTACCTGGAGGAACTTTTGACAAAAGAGCTGCTGGAATTGGATTCGGTAGAGACCAACGGGCAGGAAGTCGTTCGACAGGCTCGCAAAGAGGCCGTTAAGAGGATCCAGGCCATCTTAGACCGCCTTGAGAGAAAGGCTTTTTAATAACAGGGTGGATTGATGATGGTTCTGGATGTTCTTTTGTTGCGTTTTCTTTTTAATGATCTTTTCTCATGATCAGAGAATATGATTTTCAGTGTTTGCCAGTTAGTTGCATTAAATTTGTGGTGTTTTTGGGTCATGAATCCTAATGATGGTAATGTATTAATCGAAATACAGGCGCAAAATGTCCTAATCATTGCAGTGCCATACTCGAACCAGCCTTCTGCCATCCAGCAGTCTAACATCTGCTCATGTCAGATTAAGCTCAATTAAACAAGTCTCATTGCATAAACCGGATTTAAGATTTTTTTCCTATTTAGATAGAAGGGATAAAACAGCTAATTCAACCACATTTTTTTCCAGGGCTTTTTGGTAGCACAACTTTTCATTAAAAAAAAAAAAGCCTCCATTTCTCATTTTGTACTTGAAACATTGTTTAGCACTGTTATTATACCAATACATTCATGATTTTATTGTAATATAATTGATTAATAAATAAAGGAAGGTCAGTTTTTGGTAACTCGCTCTTAATCCATGTAATTTCACCCATTTTCTTTTTGTTTTGTATTAGTTTCTTCATTTGTTTCATTGTCACCTTCTTCGTGAAAATGTGTTCTTTTCACGAAGGTCAATTTTCAATTGTTAAAAGTGATATATGCACGAAATACCACTCACACAGAAGTCAACCTGGTAAATTTGTGTGGAATATATTGCGGGGGGAAATTTTCCGCCCTTATGCAAAACTCCCGATTGTGCGGATTCCAATTGAAATGGTTTGATGTCACTGGCAAAATTTTGCAGAGCAACTGTAAATGTGACCTTATCTGATTACACACGCTAGTTTTCGTACACAATCATTGGTCTATCTTGTCCAAACTGAGTGTTACAAACCCACAACCTGGATGGACTTTAGACCAGTTTTCACTGCCATCACTGCATAGTTCCCCGCTATTTGTCCAGGCCTACATCTGAAGTTTAAAGAGCCTTTTAAATTAAAATGGCCATTTGGTGGGTTTTACACATGTCAGTTAGCTTTGAGACCATCTACATGCTAATGTACTGCTAAAAGTTGACAACCCTTCAGTATCACCTGCCTCTAACAAGCAATATCGAGTAGCAAATCATGATTTACAAGGCTGTGATGTAAACTAGGCCATTTTATAAAAAGAAGAGCCATTTGAATTTGTTTTAGTTTGATAAAAAATGCATTCATCAAACCATTTCATGGGGTTTCTAAAATGTTCAATAGACCTGCATCTCAATGCACCAGTTCGACGCGCCTGCATCTCAGTTCACCATTTAGTACAGGCCATTGTGTTAACACTATTGCTTACATCCTGCAGTTCGGAGGACTTTTTGGTATTGTTTGTTTCTTTTTCTTTGTGAGACTATTGATTTGTAACTGATGCAATGGATACATCTGCGTCAGTGTTCAGGTGGCAGCAGCCATTGACATGGCTGATCTGCAGGCCTGTTTACAGTCAAACAGGGGACCTTTTTTAAAAAGACATAAAGGAATAATATACAGTTTCTATTTGAATGACTGGAGTGGGGATGCGGATTATGGACAGACCATCAGGACTTCTCTATGGAATAAAAGTTCCCTTTAAATTCACTACATCTAATACTTTGCACCAAAGTCACTGACATCACGGACCGTCCAACAGGTCTTCCTTCTACCACAAGGATCTTATGTCTGTTTTGTAACCAGGAAAAACAGTGCCATAATATCAGCAGGTGCTTTTTCATACCACAGCAGAGAAGTATCTCAAATACAAAAAACTGCAAATCAACTGAGCTCTGCATGAAGTCTCGGATTCCATGTTTATCTTTATTGTATGTGTTTTCCGTTCTCTCTCTCTGTAAATGATCTCATATATACCTGAAATTGGTTATTAGATTAATCTTTACACGAAAAAAAGAAAAGAAAAGTATATTTGTATAACGAATATATTGAAAACTCAGTTCCCAAATAAGGACCAAAAACCTGCCTGCTGAAGTCCCCAATGTAATGCATGATTTTGAACACAAGCAGGGGCTGTTACTCCATAATGTTGTAGGACTGAATAAAGGTCAACTGACAGTAGGGTCTCTCATATTAAAAATCAGGACATTCATATTATTGTGTCATATTGTTTCATTGGCTCATGAGGCTCATGACAACTTTACTGTAAACAATATGAATTTATTAATATTTATTAAAAGCTTCACTATAGTAGCTCAATTGAACAAAATATTCTCACCACACCTTTAGAGCCGCTTTTTACCACATGCTGATTTTATACAGAACTGGAAGACCAATCACAATTCAGTATGCAAATAATTGTAAGAAGACCAATAACAGTTCAGTATACATCACTTATCACTCAGTGGTATACATTCAAATTTTACAATAACGACATTTTGAATGGTGAACATTTTAACAATGTAAGTCAGTTTACTTTATATTTCTTAATTGAAAAACTACTCTATAATCTTTATATTTCTTGCAGTGGCCCATTTTAATAACCAACTTATGTGATGTGTCCACAATTTATTAATTCATGTCAATGTTGAAATTACAGTTATTTCCTGCATCGCCTTAAAAGGTTTTGTGCATATTGTTGTAATAAGTAGCAGCTAAGTTACTGTTGATTAAATCAATTGAAATCTGTCTTTAAATCATATAGAAGATAGATACAGTATATTGTTACATTGATTGCATGAACATGTTCTGGTGTGAATGCGCAGGCCCAATTTGAAAGATATCCAGGTCCCTAAAATAATAACTAACGTTACCTGCACTGAAATTCAAAACACGGCTTTTATTCATGCAGAAATTAATTGACAGTTTGAATAACTTTAACAGGCGTATTCTCGTGCTCTTAACTTCAATCGGAACAACTTCGAGGCTAATATTACAAAAAGCAGTGGACAACTAATGTTGCCTTTGCGTGCTATCGGAATTATCGTAAATAGCCCTTATTAGATGCTACTAGTTTCCTAGTTAAAAAATTGGACAAGAACCTATGGGATCAAATTCCCGCCGAAAGTATTGTGGTCACGGATCAAAAAATAATAAGCAATGAATAAAACATTTAAAAGCACATGTAAAAATATATATTGCACAAACTGAAAAAAAAAAAAAAATGAAAAATGATCAGAACAGTAAACAACATGGTCAGGATAAAATATTAAAAGCGTGAAAAAAAAATTAAAAGCGCTTTTTAAAAAATAACAAGCATGAACCAAAACTTTAAACACATTACAAATTATATTGCACAAATCTTAAAATTATGTTTATTTGTTCTTCTTTAAAGTTGTTTTCCTTGGTTTTATTACTTTGTGCTCTCTAACATTTTCTGCTGATATTATGCTCTTTTGTACTTGTGCTGTTTTTCTCTTTGCTCTTCTTTCCCTTTGCTCTTCTTTCCACGTTCAGCGCTTGCTCTTCCAAATATTGCAGTTTGAGTTTCATGTAAATTAGGGCGTGTTTAAGTGTCACCAATGGTCCACTAGTTATAGGTTGACAGCTCCTCCTCTAGCTAATCAATCGAAGAGGGGAGTTGATGTTACTCCATATGCGACTCATGGCTACTGATGCTCACTTGTACAGGGGAAGACAACTGTCAGCTGGCAATTTCCGAGCTGGGGTAAAATCCTTCCGTGGCAGGACACAGTTATATTGTATGTGTGCCTGCAACTCGACCTGTCACCGATATATGTCCACCTGAACAACTTCCTGCTCAGCTACTGTTCGGACGCTCTTGCTTACTGCTCCGCGCTTTGCTCTATCGCTTTTATATTTTTTATTGCTCTATCGTTTATATTTTTATATTTTATTTCCTTTTATCACCTAATTTTAACTTCAGCAAATCAGCACAGTGCTCAAACGCTTGATTACTAGAAAAAAGCAGAATTCTTTTCTCCGACCAGCCTCCCACTGAAAGCTTACATTCCGGGGAAGAGAAAACACAACTGCCTACATTCATAAGGATAAGAGAAAATGCCTCTTCTGGAATCTACTTGCTGCACTAACTGCCAGAGACTTTTACAAAGGATTGCAGTTCTTGAAACAAAGTTACTTGTGGGACCACCAAACCAGACGGAACACACAACAGAGCTTCATCATGGACGCCCTCAGCATACAGCCGGTGAGTCCCATGAATCTAGTGCTCCAATACAGGCCATACTAAGTGTAGAGAAACAAGCCGATCGACTTACAAATCGATGGCACAAACAGGGAGCGAGACCCAAAGGCACTCGAGACATCAGATTGTCACGAGCATCACACCTTGCCGCAGTAGCATCCTCTACCTCAGATACGGCTCTGACAAGGATTGCAAACACTGGTCTCCTACCACCGCCTATACATCTTGAGAACAGATTTGAAGTATTAATGAATGAGGAATCCCTGAATGGGATGAATGTGATCGAACACAGAATGAATAAGCCAGTAGCTAACACTAATGCTAACTGGCGCTCAAGGTCGAGCAGACAGCGGCACTCAGCTCAGAGCGCAGCCGAGCCCAGGACTCTGATAGTGGGTGACTCGATAATCAGAAACATTATTAGCAGGGACACAACTACATGCTGCCTTCCACAAGCAACGACTTCTGATGTAAACAGGGAACTTCAGAACATTCTGATGAAACATAAGACTGCAAATCGACTCATTGTTCATGTGGGGAAGAATGATATTCATAAAGAGCTCAGAACTCCTTAAGAAGGATTTCAAGGAACTTTTTGAAACACTTAAAAGACTGAAAGTTCAGACATTCATCAGTGGACCACTCCCAGCAAGAGGAACAAACAGGTTTTCACGGTTGCTTGGGCTTAACACATGGTTGCAAAAAACCTGCAATATAAAAGGAGTGAACTTCATTGACAACTTCAATCTTTTCTGGAGTCAGAGGCAACTGTTTCAACAGGATGGGCTCCACCCAAACAAACTTGGCTCAAGAGTGCTAAAGGACAATATCTACTTCTCCCTCCATCATCCTTCTGCAGTGTGTGCCAATCCACTCAACCTGAATGGCACACACACACCTGGACACAGTATGAATGACCACAGGACTTCACTTCTGCACCTGAATGGACATGCGGCCGACACATCACAAGGACAATGATAACACCACTCAGCCACAACAACCTCTGCTCACGGACACAATCTCAGCTGAGCCCTGCCCACAGAGCTCACCACAAACAGACTGTGACATACTAGAACTGCTAGAAGATTCAGCACCCAAGGACGACTTTCTGGGAATACAGGACAGCATATTACAACCTCCGATAACACCAGAACAACAGCCCCTCTCACCAGACACGTTATCCCTCTCTCCAGCAACTCCACTTTTGTGCTTCTCAGAGAAAATGGAACAACTGGTGTATGCTGGAACCAAACTATCCCACTCTTTTGCTGCAAAGCCCCCAGATGTCAACCAAAAAACGGCAGGCCCCACAACCACCAAAGCCTGCGGGCCCAGCTCGCCCTCCTCCTCCTCCTGTGAGAGCTCTTCGGCCTCTGCCACAGCGCCAGGGCCCTAACCATCCTCCAGCGGCTCGCGGTGAACTGATACCAACTCTCAGTGATATGTGTCGGGTCCCCGCTATGATAACAGTAACTTTCTTAAATGTTTACAAAACAAGCGGGAACCCAGTGTCCCTGTATCTTTCTCTAGTGCTGTTCAATTACATGATAGAAAATCTAAGGCCTTCAAAAGCCATACAGCAAACCCATCTAATCTGGTGCCTATCACACGCCAAACTAAGATCGCTATGGGGACAAAAAGTAAGACTGTTAAGTTAGCACTTTTAAACATCCGCTCACTTAAAAATGAATCACTTCTAGTCAACGATTTAATAACCACATACAACCTGGACTTTATGTTTCTAAATGAAACTTGGCTAGAAGACAGCTGCAGTGCAACAGTTCTCAATGAAACATCCCCTCCTAACTTTACTTTTATGAGTGTTTGCAGAGCGGGAAAGAGAGGCAGCGGCTTAGCTGCTCTTTTTAAAGATGTCTATCAATGTAAGCAAATATCATTTTGGAATTACCCGTTTTTCGAATATCTGGGTATTGTGTTAAAAGGTGCTCCACGTATTTTACTTATCATTATTTACAGGCCTCCAAAATACTCTCCAGCCTTTGCTGAGGACTTTACAGAACTGTTATCAACAATTTCCTCTGAGTTTGACTGTTTTGCCATTGCTGGAGATTTTAACATTCACATAGATAATGCAGAAACCAATATGGCAAAAGAAATCAAAACTGTTTTCAAAACTTTTGATCTGACTCAGCATGTACATGGACCCACACATAATCGTGGAAACACTCTAGATTTACTTATCAGTAAGGGTCTAAACATCTCATCGATTGTTATCAAGGATGTAGCACTGTCTTATCATTTCTGTATTTTCTTTGATATACTGATCTCTCCTGCCATTGAAGCTAGATCTGTGTCTGTCAAGAAGAGATGCTTAAATGAGAACATTAGTGTGCAATTTATGAAGGCTATATCTTTAAAACCAAGCATATCTGCTGACTCTGTTGATTTTCTCCTTGAATCGTTTAACTCAAAAATTAAAAGTGTAATTGATGATATTGCTCCTGTGAAAGTCAGGAAGAATAGTGGTAGAAAAAAAGCACCTTGGAGAAACTCAACAGCTGTGCAAAACATGAAAAGACAATGCAGAAGAGCAGAGCGCATGTGGCGGAAGACAAAACTTGTAGTCCATTATAACATCTACAAAGACAGCATTCATGCTTTTAATATGGAACTAGGCAAAGCTAGACAGACTTTCTTCTCGAATATTATAAACAGCAACTTAAACAACACACGCACTCTTTTTGCTACTGTAGAGAGACTGACAAACTCCCCAAGCCAGATTCCTAGTGAAATGCTCTCAGACATCAAGTGCCGTGAGTTTGCTTCTTTCTTCTCTGAGAAAATCAATAATATCAGAAAGGTGATCAGCTCATCCTTGAGTTGCGCTGGGGTCAAACAGATCAGACCACTACCTGATGGTGTATTCACACCTGCCTTGTTTGGTTCGATTGAATCGAACTCTAGTTCGTTTCCCCCCTTGGTGCGGACCTTTTGGGCAGGTGTGAATACAGCAATCGAACTCGGGT